GTAATCCCAGCGACGCAGGAGGCTGAGGCACAAGAATTGCTTGAACCTGGGAGGTGGAGGTTGCAGTGAGCCGATACCATGCCATTGCACTCCAGCCTGGGTGACAGAGTGACTGCGTTTCAAAAAAAAAAAAAATAGAATGAGCAAGAAGAAATGAACGTTGGATATTTTTCTCTACACATCCTGTGAAGCTGCTGTCTCAAGGGGAAGTTGCTAAGAGGAAGGGTTTTCTGGAGATCGTGGGGACGGGAACCACTCTGCTTTGTTCATCAGTTAGGCCAGCACCTCATCAGATATACAAGTTGTCAATGGCTTCTGTGAGAATAGAGCACTGAGACCAACACGTGGTTGAAACTACAATCCCATCCATGTAAAATCTACTAGCACTCTACAGAGGATGTAAGCTATGGCCTTGCATGGAGGAAAGGACACTAGACTGCTTCAGAGGAGGGAAGCTAACACAGAGGAAATACCATAGCAGTCACCAACCTTTTTGGCACCAGGGACCAGTTTCAAGGAAGACAATTTTCCATGGAGCAGGGTGGGGAGATGGTTTTGGGATGATTCAAGCACATTACATTTATTGTGCACTTTATTTCTATTATTATCACATTGTAATACATAATGAAACAATTACACAACTCACCATAATATAGAATTATTGGGATCCCTGAGCTTGTTTTCCTGCAATTAGTTGGTCCCATCTGAAGGTGATGGGAGACAGTGACAGATCATCAGGCATTAGATTCTCATATGGAGTGCACAACCTAGACTCCTCACATGCACAATTCACGATAGGGTTCAAGCTCCTATGAGAATCCAATGCTGCTGATGATCCAACAGGAGGCGGAGCTCAGGCGGTAATGCTCGCCCACTGCTCACCTCCTGTGCGTCATGAACCAACACAGGTCCATGGCCCCAGGGGTTGGGGACCCCTAAAGTAGAGAATCTAGCTTGGGACACAGAAATCATGAAACAGACCTCCAAAATAATTGAGCAAAACTGCAAGCACATGTGGGTGGCCAGAAAAGAGATAAGGGCACTGCTCAGGGCAGCAGTTAGCAACATAATTTCAGAAAAGAGAGATGCCCTATCTTAAAGAATGACACCATCTGATCTTCGACAAACCTCACCAAACAAACAATGGGGAAAGGATTCCCTATTTCGTAAATGGTGCTGGGAAACCTGGTTAGCCATATTCAGAAAACTGAAACTGGTCCCCTTCCTTATACCTTCCTTACACCAGCTATAAAAAAGATTGAGATCATGTCCTTTGCAGAGTGAATGACATGGATGAAGCTAGAAACCATCATTCTGGGCAAACTAACAAAGGAATAGAAAACCAAACACCGCATGTTCTCACCCACAAGTGAGAGTTAAACAATGAGAACACATGGACACTGCGAGGGAAACAACACATGCCAGGGCCTGTTGGGGGTTGAGGGGAAAGGGGAGGGAGAGCATTAGGAGAAATACCTAATGTATGCGTGGCTTAAAACCTAGATGACGAGTTGATAGGCGCAGCAAATCACCATGACATACGTATACCTATGTCACAAACATGCACATTCTACACATGTATCCCAGAACTTAAAGTAAAATAAAATGAAATAATAAAATAAAAAAAGAAAGTCTGTTATACAGATTTCTCCAGGTGAGCTACTGTTGTCAAGATTTTGCAACGATCCCTCACCATCCCCTTCTCTGGTCTGTTTGGATACGCACAGCCTGCTCTTGTGAGAAGATGCCAGGTGACAGATGAGCCAGTTGGCTCAGAAGAGGAAGTTCCACCTAGTGGATGTCTGTGCTTAAAACTAGATCCAAGAGCCAGATTCAAAACAGGCTCAGTATACAGGGCCTGCCTACAGAGATGAACCGCCTCAGCTGTACAAGTTGCACAAAGCAAAACAGATAGGAGCTGCCTGGGAGAACGGTGGAGCTTTGTGACCTTCAGGCTGGAGTACTCACAGGCTATATCTAGAGCAGAGCAGGCGAGCTGATCCTCCAGTGAGTACAAGGTGCTACTATAAGCCTGGTGGCAGTCACACAGGTCATGGGGAACCGAAGGAGTCAAGTAAACTTCATCCAGGGAGTTCTCTGGGACCTCCTGCTCCTCCACCTCTAGCAGCTCCTGCCTCAGTCTGGTGGGTAAAGACAACATAAGGTAAATACCAGAGAGAACCAAAACCACTGTACTCAGCTGGGTCTATAGGGAGGCTCACAGGAGGGACCAGAGGAAGCAAAGGACAGTCCCCTCAGAGAGATACAAGGATACTTCCCTGTCTCGAACAGGAGACAGAGAGCAGCAGGTGCTCGGTGCACTGGACAGACAATGAGCTGGGGAGGAAAGAGATGGAACAATCCCTGTGTGAAATGGCCATGACAGTGCATTCAGCACTTTTGCATACATTTGTTGAAATTAGCATCACTGGCCAAATGAATACAGGCTCGTAAGGCTTCACAGACAGAGTGAGTGCATCCTCAACATCCCTTGCTCTCAATATTGTAGCAGGACATGAGTAATTTTCACACACTTTCCTGCTATCAAATACTTGCAAACATGTTATTGTCAAAGTGGCAGACATCAGATGTGCACCTCTTCTTCACTTTAAGCAAAAAGGACAGAAAAGAGGACCGCAGAAAATGTCTGTGATTGATCAGTTCAGCAGAGTCAACTGAATGCAGACTAGTACAATTTACAGAGATTAATAAGGAGAAAAAACAAATACAGGTATACAATGAACAGAGTCAACATTATGAACATGGCTATTTCATGGTTGGCTGAACAGATGAAACAGGTATATTCAGCACCCTCTCTGATTTTCCCTGCATGTGGAGTCTCCAGATATCAACACTGAATTGACTGTCCATGATTCCTCAGAGTTACCTGTGGCATGGTGGGTCTTGGTCTACTAGCTCCTCTTGATCCTTGTTAATTTCTGCAAATAAATTCAGACAGGGACAGACACATTAAGCAGGTTCCCCTACACACACAAACAATCCACTGTGCAATCCTAACATAGGAACATCGGTTTCCTCAGTGGGAGAACAGGACACTGTGAGAGAAATATTCCAGGATGCCTGAAGTCCTGTCATGAGAGAGGTGCTCTGGGTTTCTTCCCTAAGCCTAGGGGTGAAATCTCCCTGTTGTGGTAGATCATCATCCCAATATCATCACTCCTGATTTTGTGCAAAGAGTTATGCAACATTTTTCACACCAATTTAAAGCAAATACCCCAACTGCTTTCTAGCGGAAATATCTAGCTTTCTATCATTAAATACCCACATTGTTCATGGTTGCGAGGATGTTAGACACTGAAATTAGAATGAAGGGGGGAATCAACAGACTCTTGAATCAAAATGAATCTTTGGTGCTATAAAGAAACATTGGCTATTCGTGGCATCTAGGAGTGACGAGGCCCAGTCTTGCTTCTGCAAACATAACAAAAGGTGATGGACTGCTCTGCTAAGACAGGCCAACATCGAAGACACAGAGAATGAGGCTTGGTTCATTGAAATCTGGGTAATATCTCTAACAGAAATGTAGTCAAAGATGCCACTGGCCTTGGGCAGGCATAGAACCTGAAGGAACATGGTTGGGGAAAGAAACTTGTAAGGAACACAATAGCTGGCAAGACAAAGTTCATTCAGATTAAGAGGCCTGACAGACACCTGTTGGGCATGTGTTACGTACATTGGTGTGAATTTTTCACACCTGCTTGGGGTCCAGTGTCCTAACAGTTGATCCAGGATGCCACAAGAATGGCCTGAGACTAGGAAGAGGCCAAAGTTCATGGACCCAATCTTACGTCTTTGTTTCAGACTCGATTCCAGAGCGATACAAATCTACATGTATATCTAGGTCCAGTTCACAGTGTTGACAACTCTCAGTCCAGCCACGGGTGGGAGGCCCAAGGATTTTGGGGTCCACCTAGGACTTATATCACTTCACAACGGAGTACTCACTGTCTACGTCAAGAGCCACGCAGGCTTGCTGTTCCTCTAATGAATGCAGGGCACTCCTCATATCAGACTGGTAGGAGTCAGTCAGGTCAGGAGGGATCGGAAGAGTCGAGTCAGCTTCATCCCATGACTCCTGAGGGACTTCATGCTCCTCCACCTGTAGCAGTTGCCTATTGAGCCTGTTGGGGTAGGAAGGTCTAAAAATTAATCCGTGGAATATCAGGTGCCACGGAGGTCTATCTGAATTTGGTGGAAGGTTTGAGACAGTGGTTGCAGAAATCAGAGATGGGAATCTATTTAAGAGGAGGAAAAGTATCCTCTAATTTGTAGGATAAAGTGTGGCTTCCAAGGGAATGTGGTGTGGGGCTGTGCTCAGGGAACTGGCCAGATTATAAGGCGATGGGGAGGGAGAAAGGAAGCCCTCTATTATCACCCTCATGACACACAGTATGGAGAGATTACTAAAGCAGTGGCTTCAGTGGTTTTGCATAAAATAAGTTGAAGTTGATAAGCAATAGGTACATGATTGTAGCATTAGAGGAAGTGTAGCCTCCAAAACCTTTCACCTTCAGGCCTCTTATTCTCAATATAGTGACAGGCTATGGTTTTTTTCTAGTTCCTTTTCCTATTACCAAAGTCCTAACACATGATGAAGAGAAACAAGCCAAAATCAAGTCTGCATCACACTGGTTGTGGCCCCGCACCCAAGAGAGAAGGGGCAATTGCAGGAGCTCCCTAGTCAGGTGTGTTGACCTGAGTAACCAACTGCGGGTTACTAAATGTCAGAGGGAGGAAGTAATGGGATCCTATGCAGGTGCCACCATGAAAATAGACAATCTTATGACTAGGGATAATTTGTGACTTGCTGAAAGGATATATATATATAGCACTTTCTGTTTTACCTAGGTCTGGGGTCTCCAGCTGTCAATAGTGAATGAACAGTCTACAGTTCCTGAGACTTACCTGGTACACAGTAGTTGTTGGTCTTCCATCTTCTTTCTGTTATTTAGATTTTCTACAAATAAATTCAGACAGGGCTGTCACATTAAGCTGATTCCCCTCCACACATGTCCAATTCACTGTCCAGTCCTAACACAGAGACATCTAACTTTCCAGTATGAGAACAGGATACTGCGAGAGACATATTTCAGGAGGCATAAGGTCGTGCCTTGAGAAAACTGGCTTATTGACTTTCCTGAGCCATGGGGCAAAATCTGCCTGCGCTAGTAGGCCATCATCCCAACATCCTCCATTCTGACTCTGGCCAAACAGTGAAGTAATCCTTTTCCCCACAGACTCTAGGCAAATAGCTAAATTGCATTGTATGAGGGAGACTGTAATATTCAGCCTTCTTCACCAAATACTCAGGTTTTGATGATTTAGAACAGGGGCCCCCAATCCCCAGGCCACAGACCAGCACCGATACATGGTCTGTCAGGAACTAGGCCATAGAGAAGGAGGTGGGTAGCAGGAGAGCCAACATTACAGCCTAAGCTCCAGCAAATCAACCTGTGTCTACGAGTGATGCCCACACCAATGACATGTCTAAGTCCAGCCAGGAGTGCGAGGTGCAAGGATTACAAAGTCTGCCTGGGGTACCAATAAGAGATTTATCATGTTCACGATGGAGTACTCACTGTCTACAAGAGCCAAGCTGACTTGCTTTTCTTCAAAAGAATACAAAGTTCTCCTATAAGGCTGGCAGGAGTGAGTCAGATCAGGAAGAACAGAAGCAATCAAATAACATCCATCCAGTAACTCCCGGGGGACTTCATGCTTGTCCACCCTCAGCGGTTCCCTGCTGAGCCTGCAGGGTAGGAAGGACTATAGATTAATCCAAAAAGTTTCAGAGCCCTAGCTGGATTTCATGTGAGGCATGAAGGAGCGATCACAGAAAGCAAATGGTCAACCCATTAAAGAGTTCAATATTCTCCTCTTCTTGGTGGGTTGCAGTGTGGTTGCCATGGGGTAGGTGAGCAATACAGAGGGAAAGTGAGACGAGAGAGAGAAGCATCAGGTACTCCATGAATTGGCCAGATTATGATTTTCTGAGGCAGGAGACTGAGTGTTTCTGTATGGTACAGTCATGACTTACTGATTATCATGTCCCAGAACAGTGGTTTCATCCTTTTTTCTTAAATTGTATTGAATTTTATATGTATTGGCCAAGTAAGCACAGATTTTGAGGCATTATAATATCCCCAAAATCTCATGTCATCAAGTCCCCTTTCTCTTAATCTCGTGGCATGGTATAATAATAATTTTTCTATCAAATTTTCTTGCCGTGGAATACTCACCACTGTGCTAATGCAAAACCAGCAGAGAGCAGATATGCATCTCAGGGTGGTTGAAACCATAAGAAGAACATATCTGCTTGCAGGAAATCTCTGTGACTGATTAGTTGTTCACAAGGTCAACTGGTTTTGTGTACGGAACTTGAGAAGTTAATAAGAAATGGCAAATAAGAAATGGCAAATAGTACAAGTATCACAATGAAAACAGAAAACATTGTCCAAAAGGATCATTTCTGGTTGGCTGAAGGGATGCATTAGGTATATTCAGGACTTTCTGGTTCTCTGTGGATAAGAGTTGTACAGATATCACCCTGAATTGACAGTTCCTGATTTTTCTCAATTACCTGGGAGCAATCGTTTCTTGTCTTTTCACCTCTTCAAGACCAAGTTGCTTTTCTGCAAATACATTGAGAGAAAACCAGTCATATGAACTTGATCCCATTCATACATGCACACACTTGTGTCCAAACCTACACAGTGGCATAAATACACTCAGTGTCATAACAGCCTATTGTGAGAGGAACTTCCTAGGAGGCCTCAGCATGAGCGTTGTGAGAAGCCACTAGGTTTACTTTCCTGAGCCATGGAGCAAATCTCCTTAACATAACAGGTCATCATCACAGTCCCTTCTGTCCTGAGCCACAGCACAGTTAAACACATCCTTTTTTTACTGAGAGATCCTGGGGATCCACTTCAATGCTTTCTAGGAGGGTTACTGCAGTATTCAGCATGCTTCCTTCTGATAAGTTACCGTTGGTGGTTTTGTAGAATTCACATTTAGATGGATAGATTGCGTCAAAAGAATCTCTCATGCTCTGCAGAAACACTGGCCTTTCATCTTGTAGGGAGTTTCAGGGCCCAGTCTTCTTTCAGAGAAACATCAAAAGTCCAATAGTGGTGTTCATGTTCTGGTACTCAGAGATTTCTTAGCTAAGACAAGCCAACTAAAAAGAGACAGTGTCTAGCCTGACAGAAGGGAACAAGAGTAATGACAGCCCCAGGAATATAGAAATGGCTGCCAATGGCCTTGGACAGCATAAAAACTCAGGCTGTTTGGGTAGAAATCCCATGTGAGATGACAGATTCAATCTAAATTGGGAGGACTGATGGATAAATCCCGCATCCAGGCCGCAGGGGTGCATGTGAATTTGTCAGGTCAACCTTGGGTACAGTGATTTGCTAGTGGGGCAAAGATGAAAGATGACATGTGATTTGCAGCTAGGATGGAGCAAAACTCTCTGACTCATGGGATGCCTTCTTCAAACTCAATCCTAAAGCCTGGTTCTAACCAGTATATGAGTATAGGGTCCATCTGAAGGTATGGCATCTGTCATTCTAGACTGGTCGTGGGGTGCCAAGAATAGGGAGCCTACCTGGGAAGCCAAGTGGGGTTTCCTCTCCTTTGGAATTGGAGTGTTTGCTGGCTACGTCCTGAGCAGAGCAAACTTTCTGTTCGTCCAGTGCCAAGAAAGTGGCTTCGCAAGGCTGGTAAGATTGGGACATATCATGGTGACTACAGGAAGTCAGAACACTTTCCTCCGGGGAGTCCTGCAGCACTTCCTTCTCTTCAGACTCCTGCAGCTTCCTGATGCGCCAGACAGGAGAGGAGTGACAAGAGGGATTCAACACCACAGCATCTCAGGTGGTTTCATGGGACACATAAGGGAGTGGTCACAGAAACCAAAGGGGTAGTCTCCTCCAAGACAGAAAAAATCTATCCTTCTAAATGTGGGGTGGATGTGACCGCCCTGGGGACAGAGCAAACGCAAGCAGCAGGTGCTCAGCGCGTTTGCCACAAACGAGCTGCTGCGGGAGGTCCCAGACTCTCCCTGTAAACCGCGATCACGACTTGCAGCGCAGAGAACTGACACAGGGCTTGGCTTCCTATGCTTAAATGTGTTGATGTTTACATGCAGGAGCCAAGTAAACACAGCTCTTGAGGCATTCCAGATACACAGATCTTATCTTTTCAAAGCCCATTTTTAAAATATTTTGACATAAATTACCATTTCCCTGTTTTGTAATGAAATACTTGCCAACACGCTGACATCAAATATGTAGAAAGTATACATGCATCTCACTCTGGATTAACCACATGGGAGAGAACAGGTGACATCCCTGAGTTTGGTTAGTTCACCTGGCTCAACTGATTGCATATTCCTATGCAAGAGGGGATTAAGAAATTGAAACCTGGCCAGGCGCGGTGGCTCACACCTGTAAGTAATCCCAGCACTTTAGGAGGTAAAGGCAGGCGGATCACAAGGTCAGGAGATCAAGATCATCCTGGCTAACACGGTGAAATCCTATCTCTACTAAAAATACAAAAAAAAAAAAGCCCAGCATGGCGGCAGGTGCCTGTATTCCCAGCTACTTGGGAGGCTGAGGCAAGAGAATGGCGTGAACCCAGAAGGCAGAGCTGGCAGTGAGCCAAGATCATGCCACTGCACTCTGGCCTGGGAGACACAGCAAGACTCAGTCTCAAAAAAAAAAAGAAAGAAAGAAATGTGTAACCTACTCAAGTACCACAATCAAAAAGACAGCATTGTTAAAACGTATAATTTGCAGCTGGATGAATGGATGAGGCAGTTCTGTTCATCACTTTCTATTTTTCCCTGGATCTACAGTCTCCCGGTGTCACTATTGTACTAACATCCCACAAATCTACAGAGTTACCTGGGGCGCACTGGCGCTTTCCCTTCCTCTTCCTCATGATCATTTGGATTTTCTGTAAACAAATTCAGAAGAGCAGGTCACATTAAGCAAATCACGCTTCACACAAGACCAAATCAGTGTCCAGTCATAGCACAAGGACATAAATATTCTCAGTGTAAGAATGTGATATTCTGACAGGAACGTTCTAATGTGCCCTAGATTAAGTCTTGACAGAAGTAGATGAGCCTGCTTTTCAGATCCGTGGGACAAAATCTCCCTCATCTGGTGGATCTTAATCTTATATCCTCTGACCTGAGTCAGCACAAACAATTAAATCATTTTCCCTAAGATTTTCAAAAATTGCCCTAACTGATTTCCAGAACTGCTGCTGCAATACTGATTTATCTCTTCATACATCATGGTCAATGAATGGTTAGAGAAATTTATATAGAAAATTGAACTGATAGATTAATTCTAACAACTTTTGCTTAAAAAAGAATCTGTGGGGCTGGCAGGTGGCTCATGCCTCTAGTCCCAGCACTTTGGGAGACCAAGGCAGGCAGATCACTTGATGTCAGGAGTTCAAGATCAGCCTGGCCAACATGGTGAAACCCCACCTCTACTAAAAATACAAAAATTAGCCAGGCGTGGTGACGCACACTGGAAGTACCAGCTACTCGGGAGGCTGAGGCAAGAGAATCACTTAAACCCTAGAGGCAAAAGTTGTAGTGAGCCAAGATCACGCCACTGTATTCCAGCCTGGGTGACAGAGTGAGACTTCATCACAAGAAAAAAAAAAAAAAGGAAAAAAAGAAAAAGAAAGAAAGAAAAAAATCTGTGGTGCTACACAGAAACAGTGGCCACTCATGGGGTGAAGAACTCAGGACCCAGGCTTGCTTTATGGAAACTTATAAGCAAGATAAGGGTACAAGTGTTGATGTCCTGGTTTCAGTTGACTGAATAGCTGAGACGAGCTGGTTTAAAGGAGATCCAGACTGGAGATGAGGAGAGTGAAACCAGGGAAACAACATCTTCAAATAAATGGACAAGGCTGTCAGTGGTCTCAGACAGGCAAAGAAACTCCACGGACATTGTTCAGAGACACAAATTACACCATTGCAGCTGACAAGAGACATAGGAACTGAGCTAAGAGGCCTGACAGATACCTCCTGTACTCCTCCTGTACATGGGTAGCTATGGCTTTGTCACACCTGCCTCTGTTCCAATAACCTGATACTGGGGCCAGGATGACAAAGGTATGACATAGGCCAAGGAGGACAGGAAAGCTCTCTGATCCACTGGTATCTGTGTTTAATATTCCATCCTAGTTTCTCATTCTCTCTCTCCTCTTTCATTTCTCTCTCTCTATCTCTCTTTCTCTCTCTCTCTCTCTCTCTCTTTTTCTTTTTGACACAGGTTCTTGCTCTGTTGCCTAAGTTGGAGTGTCGCAGTGCAATCACGGCTCACTGCAGCCTCTACCTCCCAGGCTCAGACAATTCTTCCACCTAAGCCTCTTGAGTAGTTGGGACTATAGGCATGCAGCAGCATGCCTGGCTAATTTTTTGTATTTATTGTAAAGATGGGATTCACCATATTGTCCAGGCTGGTCTTGAACTCCTGACCTCAAGTGATACACCCACCTGGGCCTCCCAAAGTACTGTGATTATACGTGTGAGTCACCGTACCTAGCTCCATCCTAGTTTCTGACTCAAACCAATATGTGTGTATACAGCCCATCCTCAGAATTGATCTTCCATAGCCTAGACAGAGGTAGGAGACACAAGGAAAATAGAGGTTACCTGGGAGAATGTTTAGAGTATCCTGCCATTCATCTTGAGAGGATTCACCATCTACAATCAGAGTTGAGGTGGCTTTGTCTTCCTCAAATGTGATTTTTGTGTTCCTGTGTGGCGGGTTGGAGTTACAAGGGCCGTGGCTATTTGAATAACTGATGACACATTCCTCCAGTGAGTCTTCAGGGACTTCCTTTTCTTCAGCCTTCTGCGCCTCCCTGATGAGCCAGGTGGGATAGAGATGACAGAAGATTAGACCGAGAGGGATTGGACCCCAGGGAGTCCTAGCTGGTTTTGACAGGAGGCATTAAGAGAGTGGTTCCAGAAAGCAAACAAGAGGTTCCCATTAAGAGAGAACAGGCAATCCTCTTCTCTCTGCAATGGAGCATGGCTGCCATGGGAGCCAGACAGGAAGAGAGCAACTGGTGTTCATTGCACTGGACAGGTAGGAGCTAAGGAGGATGCAGACTCAGCTATCCCTGCACAGTACAGACATGACACTCGGCACACACAGAGAACCACAACAGCTGCCACACCCTGTTTCTAAGCTGGGTTGAATTTCACATACTGTGGCCAAGGGAATGCAGGCTTTGGACCCATTATAGACTCCAGACATGGTGTGCCTTCTAGGCCTTTTTATTTTAACATTGTGAGATAAAATGTAATTTTTTTTTGTCTAGGTACTTTTCCTGGTGTTTAACTTTGCTAGGTACTTCCTAATTCCTCTGCTTGTTGCCTCTTTGCTATTTATCATTCATAACAAGTATCTAAAGACAACCATGGAGAAAGCAGCTTTGCACCTCCTCCTGGTTTTCACAACAGGGTAGAACAGGCCTTCTCTGTGTGTGCAGGAAGTCCCTGGGGCTGGTGAGTTCATTGAGGGTCTTCCTTAAGGTACCATGAAGACAATGGACAAACATGTTAACAGGCCTATTTCCTTGTTAGGTGAGTGCAAGAAATCAGTGTACTCTGCAGCTTTCTTTATCCTGCATCCGGAATCTGTGACTACCTTCACTCCCTTTGTGTTCTTGCTGAGACCTTTTCCATATGTTACCACCCATTACCTGCTCTTGATTATTCAGTCTTACCTTGGGGCAGGTGATTCCTGTACTTTATCGACCTCCTCAGCTTTATCATTTTCATCCTCATCTTCATCATCTTCTGTAAATACAGAAGTGTTCGTTCAGATATTTCCCACTTCACACTCTGCAAGCACAGTCAGCCCAATGTGCACAGAGACATGAACATCTATGATGGGTCAGCATTGAACTGAAAGCTCTCATGTTTTATCTTTAACAAAATGCCCTGGTGTTGTTTCCTGATCCATCAGGCAATGCATTTCTATCTGGAGGGCCACCATCAAGATGTGGCCAAATATTGAAAAGACCTTTTGCTCCCCATATCACTGGAGGCTTGTGCAGCCTGTCTCTGGACTTTGGCAGCTGTCTCCCCCATCCCGCCACAGATCTGATTCCCAGGCATGGGCTTGGTGTCCTGTCACAGTTTGCATTTAGAAACTAATTCTTTCTCTTAGGAGAGGACAAACTTGTCCCACAGTCCTGTATACATCAGGAGAATGCACAGGCCCTCCACGTGGCTTCTGCTGTGTTATTCAGGGACATTCTCTCCATGGGGAGTGCTCCAGTCTGAAGCCCTTCCTACTACCAAATGCTCCCACATCAAGTGCCTTCTGCAACACCACACGGCGAGGGGCTTCATCTCATTTTGAAAAGCAGTCATAAGTGTTCCGGCATTTGAATGATAGAGACACTTGCAAGAGACAATGTGTCTGCCTTTGCAGAATGAGAGACAGTAACCCAGGAAAGACAAATCACTCCCTCACCAACAGTTACTAAGAACATTGCTGAAGAGACAGCCTGGGAACCTTCATTCTTAGTCCAGAGCTCTTTTCACTCTAACAAGCGTCCTCCCGTCACAGCCTCCTTCCTGTCCTTTAAAACTAGATAGATGCTGCCTCCTGCTCTAAAGACCACCTTCCATCAAGGAAGGAGGGACATTTGCAATACTGTGACCTCCAACCCCATGGGTTTCTCATCTCTGTTCTTACCCAGGAAGTCCTGGTCATGTCATGGTCACATATGTTTAGTGGAAAAACCCCACCGATACAACTGTCATTGTGAAAGTGTGGAGGTCTGGAGTCTCTCATAAGCCTGGGGTTTGGGGTTATCAGGGCCTGTGGCCATCTTACCTGAGCTGAGCTTGTGGACGAGGTGGTGTGCCAGCCTACACCCCTTGGCCAGCTGTTCTTGGATGTCCCGCCGCTGGGACTTGTCCAGCTCATCCGGAGTGAGGAGGGCCTGGAGATGCTGAGTCAATGAGCGGGAGGCATCTCTCCCTTCCCGTAACTTCTCCCTTAACTGGATCAGCTCTCGTGCCTGAGAGTGAACCAGGACTTTATATTGCCTAAGGTGAGAGGGTAGAGAACATTTAACAGTGCAAAGGGATGAGCGACAATGTCCTCAAGGAGAACTCCAAGCAGAAGGTCAGCACATGTTTAAAGGAATGTCTGTGGTCAAGAGAAAGCATAGAAAATGGTTTACAGGCTATCTGTATATCAGAGAGGGCTCCTGTAAGATCCTTGATGATGTTCCATTCATCTTTCTCTTCTGTAAACAAAAGTAGGTGTTTTCCTAATTCCATTTCAAAGACATCCTTTCAGTTCCTCACCCTGGCCACGGACATTTCCATGTGAAAATAGGCATAGTGCATCTTGCGGCGATAGATGCAAAGCCATGTACAGAAATGAGGCCGGGTGCAGATGGGGCGAATTGAAAAGACAAAAGAAGAAAAGAACGACAGGGTTGAGAAGGCAACATTGATTGAGTGAAAGAATGAGACGGCACAGCCAGTCAGGAGGTGATTCTGACTAAGGGTAAGTGGGGTGGTGATGGCACACCATTTTGAGTATACTGAATGCTGCTGGGTGGTTCCCACTTCACTGGTTAATTTTGTGTTACGCAAATTTCACCTCAACAATTACTTGTTTGAAAAAGAGAAAACAAGGCTCTGAGAAACAACTGCAACCCATAACTTATTATTATCCTTGTTCTCTGTTTGATAAATATTTGTGTGTCATGAGCCTGCCATGGCAATTCCTTCCCTTCCCTGACCCAGCTTAGCTCTTACTTCTCCCCGCCGAGCTGCTGTACGTCAGAGATTTACACACCTGCCCACCTGCCTGCCCCCACGGGGCCCCCTCACCTGAGCTCCTCAGCTTGCTTGAGCTGCTCTGCGAGCTTCTCCCCCTTGACCTGCAGCTCATCCCTCAGCATAGATTTTATGAGGTCTTTGCACTCTTCATACTCTGAGAAAAGACAGACAAGCCTGCCTCAGTAGAAGGCTGGACATGCTGCTGTGGTCACTGCCTACAGGGCAGGAGTCGGGTCCATCCCAAGAACAAAACTGTCCCCACTACCAGGCTCTAGGCAGGGATTTCCACATCTTTACTCTTCAGTCTCCCGAATTTCTGGCATCTGATCCTCCAAAATGTAGAGACGAAGAAAGAGAAACTCAAGGGCACATCAAGGAAATTGACAAGATGATTCAACCACAACGAAGTGGAGTCAGAATTCACAGCCCCTGAAGTCTGAGTCTGAATGTGGGGCCGCTTTCCCAAGCCTTCAGCCTCTCCTCTAAAACACTGCACTGGGCCATGAAGCAGTGATTTCTTGTACAGTCGGGAAGGCCCCTAGGACTATGGGACTGATGGTTTCCCTTTTACTGGGAATTTCAAGGACAAGTATGTCAAAGATTTTTAAAATCTTTGATTTTTAAATCATATCTTCAGATAAGATTTTAAGAATCATATCTGAAGCATAAAGTATGAGACATAAGACCATAAGGCCATAAAGGAAATATGCCCAAATACTAATAAAGCTTGTGTTAATTTAGAAACAGTACAATGAAGAACTAATACATAGTGTTTACTCTGTGCCAGTAACTGTTCCAGGAGATTGGCAAGAAATAGCTCATGTAATTCACTGCAGCAATTTACAGAGGTAGGTATTATTGTAGTACTCTATGATCAAATGATAAAACTGAGGATCAGAAAAGACAAGCAACTTGGATGGAGTGCAGGACACAGGCCCAGAGTCCCTGCTATGCACACTGCACTGCTACTTCCACACATTGTCGGGTGCGATCTTTCTTTCTCTTTAGGAACAAGAGCCTGTGCCCCAGGAAGCAGGACTTCCTCTCACCAGGGTACTCTCTGCTTTTTTTTTTTTTTTTCCTTCGAGTCTTGCCCTGTCCCCAAGGCTGGAGTGCAATGGCGCAATCTTGACTCACTGCAACCTCTGCCTCCCGGGTTCAAAGGATCCTCCTGCCTCAGCCTCCCAAGTAGCTGGGGTTACAGGCACCTGCCACCATGCCCAGCTAATTCTTGTATTTTTAGTGGAGACGTGGTTTCACCATGTTGGCCAGGCTGGTCTCAAACTCCTGACCTTGTGATCTGCCCACCTCAGCCTCCCAAAGTGCTGGGATTACAGGAGTGAACCACTGCACCCGGCCCCTACTCCCTGCTCTTGATGCTGTCACTTATAGCTACCACAGGTTCTACTGGGAGCAGACTCCTCTTGAAGCCCCTCAGAGCGGGTACTGGGTACTATCACCAACTTTCCCTCAGGGTCACTAGAACAGAGCTTTGCCTTTTGGGCCTCAACAGAAGCTTGAACTGAATAAAAGTTCACTAGTCCCAGACATTTAGAACAACAGACTAGATGTTATTTGTCTGCAGGATCTTATATGGTACAGAGAGGATTCTTGAAAACATGATTGAGCCTCTTGGAGAAAACAGGTCGTTCTCTGCCTGTGTCAGAAAATCAGCAACTGGGATTTGAACTCTAGTCCCACCCCCACCTGACTGCAAACATGGAAAGTTGCCAAATACTTTGGTACCTCTGTCTTCCAACTTTAACAAAATGTTAAAATACCCATTTCTATTTTCCTAGAAGTACGGGAAGGATGAAATTATTTTTGATGGAGAGAGCATTTAGTTTCTCAGAGAGAAGACAGGATGTCATTCATCACTTTCATGATGGTGAGCCTAGAGATCTTACTGTATTTATTCTGCTGGTTGGCCAGGAAGTAGGCCACTTGAGTTACAAGAAATTTCTCTTTGATGTTTCTGAACTGCTGTTTCTTCTCTGCCAGCTGGGGGCGCAATTTCTCGTTGATTTCTAGAATGTTCATCTCTGCCTTCTCACTGGACCAAGGGCCAGCAGATACCACCATGCTGACGTTTGTGGCAGAAGAGGTGGAGTCAGGGACTGGGGAGAAGAAACACAAATATATGGTGGGTTAAAAAATGGTGAACTCAAATAGGTTTAATCAGGAGTAAGGGATGTCAGTAACTGAAATTCTTAACTTACTGTTGAGAAAAATGTGATCACTCCGCACAGCACTTTAGGATCCTTAACCACAAAAACAAGGTTCGAGGTACCTTAGCTCAGAGCTGCAGGCACTGCCCGTAGCTCAGACTCTAACAAGAGTGAGGGAGATTGTGGCCAGCGTGCCAGGTAACGGTCTGCAGTTGCAATAACAGAATTAGAAGGTGGGGGTGTCGTGGAATCTTAGGAGCCCTGCATTCCAATTGCCCAGGCTTTGCTGAAACACTGGCACCCTGGTCTCACCTGAGGGTCACCACCAATGGGCTCATTCCTTCAGCATTCACTCTCAGTATTCGTGTACCCTTGTGACAATGGCACAGACCCAACTCTTTCCCAATACATCTAAGCATATTCCTCACTGTTTAGCTCTTGTCTGTACAAAATCGTCAAAGCAGAAACAGTTTCCCAACAGGTTATATTTTCTTAATGGTAGTCATGAAGTCACCCCACCTGCTCTAAGTTAAAACACATCTTAAGGCTTTTCCACAGGTGTAAGATACCAAACTTTTAGCCTGCCCTGATATCCTCTGGGTCTTCTGCAGTTTTTTCTGTATCCACTAGAAAGTGAATGAATAATTCATTTTTTAAAAATGTTTTCTTTCCTGTCTCAGTATTCTTCTTGCTGCAGCTCATTGTTATGTTGATTTCTTTTATCTTACTGGGGCAACATCTTGGGCTTTCATCACACCCAAGACCAGTTTGGCATCCCTACATCCAGAGCTCTTCCTCTATGTGGGCTGATTTGTTTTTTAATGTCACTGAGCACTACATTTTATACTTGTCACTTATGGATATCATTCTAGTGCCACAAGAGTACTTTTCAAAGTATCAAGTGATCAACATCATTTATATAGAGGTCTCCTGAAAACATGTGTGACCATCTATCTTGGGAATTTTTGTAAACCTGATGCTATTTTGTTGTTTCCATTTTGTTTTCCCATATACTGAAAAAACAGGGCCATGAGCAGTTCTTGTGGAATATGGTTTGATGTATATTTTGTTGAGTTGGACTAACACCATTGATTTTTGGTTGCATTCAAAGCAGAACATGGCAAGATCAAGGTTCTGGTCAGGGTTGGTTGGTGATCCTCAGTGTTGCTGTGCAGTAGAAGGTGAGTTTGAGGTGAGAGGAATGAGCAGGAAAGAGTGACCCCCTGAACCACCTCCTCACTTTCTTAGCTTTCACTCCCACCTGGGTTTTGTGAGCCTGGAACTTGGGAGACTGTTCTGTAGCCCGGGTCTCCTCAGTTTGGCTGCTGGACTTGCCTGAGTTGAGGGTGCAGTGGGTGTGACCCTGGGCTGCCCAGCATTCATGTGGAAGTGAAGGAAGGAGGACTGGATCAATCCCATTTGAAAGCATCCGTCTCTGCAG